TGCCGAGGGGGTCCGGGGTTCGCAGCGGGGTCCCAGGGGCCGCCCCCCCTACTCACCGCCGCCGCCGCTCCGCCGCCGTCTCCGAACTCTCTGGAAGCCGCGGGCACGCCCCCCGCGCTGGCCCCGCCCCCTCCGCGCCGCACGCCGCGCCCATTGGTGGAAACGCCCCCCTCCGCCCGCCCATCACCCCGCAGTCCCGGCGCTGACTGGCTGTGGGGCTGGTCCTTGCCGGCTCGGGAGGCGGGGCGCCGTGTCGCGTTGCGATTGGCTGAGACAGCTGCTGGGCCCGCCCCCAGAGCGGTCTCCTTCTCGCTCATTGGCTGGGAGCGGGTGGCCAATCAGAGGGAAAAGTGGGAAATGCGGAGGCTGCGGGTGGCCGGCAGGGGGCGCCCAGGGCGCGCAGGGCGGGGCGGGCAGGGCAGGGGGCGGGGCCTGGGGACGGAGGGGCGGGGCATAAATGGGCGTGGTGTGGATGGGCGTGGTCTGGATATGCGTGGTCTGGAAGGGGCGTGGTCTGGAAGGGGTCACGGGGTCAGAGGGGGTGGTCGGGGCTGGCCTTGGGGGGACCTGGCCGGGAATGTCACCGGGAGACTCCGGGGGTCCTGGGTTGGGGGCACAGCGAGATTTGGGTGGGTCTGAGGGGTCGTGGCAGAGGCTCCAGGAGGTTTCATGGAGCCCTGTGGGAGTCACAGGAGGTGTTCCCGGGGGTCCCAGATGGTCACGGGGGGTCCTGGGTGGGCTTGGGGAGTCCCAGGGAGGAGGTGGGTACCCAGGGGGGCCACAGGACATTCTCATGGTGGTCATGGAGGGGTGCTGAGGAGGATCCTGGGGGTCCCGGTGAAGGGATGGGTAGCCAGGGGAATCACAGAGGAGGAGGAGGAAGAAAGGGAGAGGGAGGAGGATGCCAGAGATTGTGGTGGGGTTTGGGGGGGTGCTTGGACCTCCTGCCATGATCCTCCCTCCCTGCACTCCAGCCCAGCTCTGCTGTCCCCCTGGGCCATGTTTGGCCAGGCCGGGCCCCTCTGCAGCTCCCGGGGGGCTGCAGGGCAGGGTCGAGGGGTCCTGCAGGCCTGGAGGTGATAAATCCCTCCCACCCGAAACCCAACCCCAGCTGGCAGCTGCTGCCCCCCAGGGCCAGAGACCCCCGGCCCACCTGCCCAGGGAATCTGGCCAGAATTCCGGAGAGAAGCTGCTGCCGTCGAGTGACTGATGGCAACGGGCGGGGAGCGGGGTCTGACACAAGGTCCCCAAACTGGGAATGGGGATTCTAAACTGGGCACATGGTTCCCAAGCTGGGAGTGGGGTCTCTAAACTGGGAATGGGGATTCTAAACTGGGCACATAGTTCCCAAACTGGGAATAGGGTTCCTAAGCTGGGAATGGGGTTTCTAAATTGGGCACATGGTTCCCAACTGAGAACGGGGTCTCCAAACTGGGCACAGGGTTCACAAACTGGGAGCAGAGTCTCCAGACCAGGAAAGGAGTCCCATATGGTTCCAAAACTTGGAATGGGGTCCCAAACTGGACACACAGTCCCCAAACTGAAACTGGGAAATGGGTACCCAAAGTGGAAATGGGATCTCCAAACTGGGAAAGAGGTGCCCAAAGTGGGAAAATGGTACTGAAACTGGGAATGGAGTCCCCAAAGTGGGAACGGAATCCCCAAAGTGCCTACATGGTTCCCAAACTGGGAATGGGGTCCTTAAGCTGGGAACGGAGTCCCCAAAATGGAAATGGAATCCCCAAAGTGGGAATGGGGTCCTTAAACTGGGAATGGAGTCCCCAAACTGGGAATGGAATCCCCAAAGTGGGAATGGGGTCCTTAAACTGGGAATGGAGTCCCCACAGTGGGCACACAATCCCCAGGCTCAGAACGGAGTCCCCAGTCCCACTGGGGAACTTGTTTGGGACAAGGAGTGCCGGAGCCAAGGGCTCTTCCTGTCCCTTCCAGGCTGGATCCGGTGACTGGCGGTGACTCAGGACTGGCCGCGGTCACATCCTGTCCCCACCACGTGTCCCTGGCCTGGCCCTGTGCCCCAAACCTCCCATGGGCACTGGCACTGTGTCCTGGGGGCTCAACCCCATGGCAGCTTTGGCCACAGGGGCCAGGTCCAGCCTCGGGCCGGGGGACACAGCCCGACTGTCCCAATGCCCATCCCTGATGTCCCACAGCGTAAGGGGGGTGCACAAGGGTGTCCCAAAATCAGAGTGCTCTGGGGGAGGGTGGGGGCTTCTCCTCCACCTCTCTCTTCTCCTCATCCCCTTCCTGCCTGTGGCTGGCCCTTGGCAGGCTGCATGAGAAGGGAAACTGAGGCACGATACTGGTACGTGTGTGTGGGAGCTGGCCAGGGGTTTTCCCAGCCTTTCTTATCTGCTCCTGTCCCACATTCCTGGTCCACATGCCACATCCTGGGCTGGGATCGCTGTGGCCAGGGAAGGGCCGGGGTCCTCAGGCTGCCAGGTGTCTGGGGGAAGAAGTGTTCCCTGTCACCCCCAGCGATCTGGGGGAGGAAATGGTGCAAGGATGGGGGTCAGGGACACTGGGACCGGCAGGACATCGCTCCAGGGTCGAGGGGGGATCACCCCAGGCATGAGAAAGTAGTATTGTTCCAGGGAGAATCATCAGTCCAGGAACGGGGGAGCATCGTCCCAGGGGGATTCATCACCGCCGGGACCCCGCCATCCTCCCCGCTGCTGACGGACGGCCCCAGGCGCACATTCCCGGCGAGGCTGCCCCCGGGCTCGGCCCCAGGCATCCGCAGCGCCCCGGGCTGGCCGCAGCTGTCACCGAGCCGGGGCACGGCCGCTGCTGCGGGGTCACGACCCGGCAGCTGGGAGAGCCCCCCGGGCCGGGCCAGAGCTGATTTTAGCCTGCGGGAGCTATTCCGGGGTCTGACCCGGGTGAAGGGCGGGCGAGAGGGTGACCGAGCCACCTCCCCCCATCCCGGCTTGTCCCTGGAGGTGTCACTGGAAGGGACCGTGCTGGCCGGGGGTGGTGATGCCTCCCTGGGGGGATATCCACGGCTCACAGCCCTGCTCTGCTCTCCCGATTTTGGGGTCCCTATCAATTGTCCCCACCCTGGGAACAGCCCTGGCGCTCTGGTGGCCCCAGCGTGGCTCCTGCTCGCCTGCACACAGCATCCCCAAGGACTCGTTTTGGGGAGGGGGAGCGGGGCCTGCCCGCGCCCCTCCCGCTGTATTTTTAGTCCTTTCCTTATAAGGTTCCCATGAATTTTGGGAGCTGAGAGCGGAATGAAGTCATCGCTGAGGTCATCCCGCCTCATCCCCCCCCCCGGCCCGCCGCGGGCTCACCCCACAGGGAGTTTTTGTGTGGGCTCCATTGAAACTGCACTCGCCCGGCCTGGAAGGAAACAAAACCCTTCCCTGGCTGGCGGGGGGCCAGGCTGTGGGGGCTGCGAGGGACTCCAGGGGCTCTAAAAGCTCCAGCCTGGGCAACAACCGGCAGCTCCCCCAGGAACCCCAGCCCCCAGGACCCCCAGCCCCCCTTGCACGCTCCTGTGAGCCCCAGCCTGGGTGTGAGCAGGGTTTGAGTGCCGGGAACCTCCACGACTCTTTCCAGCCCCCCAAAGCAGCGTGGTCCCCCAAATCAGCCTGTGTGCTCTCGGCTGGGGGTGGGACAGTGGGTGCTGCCCTTGGGGCTCTGCTTGGGTCTGATGGAATTTGGGGTCAGGGAGATGTACCTGCTGGTGTCCGAGCTGCAGCCCCAGCTAGGGTGAGCATGGGGTAACCCAGGTGCCTTTGTCTCCTCCGAGGTCGTGTTTGGTCCCCCCAGGGTTGTGGTTGGTCCTGGTGTAGTCACACAGTGCTGAGGGACAGTGAGGACACGCTTTGTCCCATGAGGGACATCCTTTGTGTCATGGGGAACATGCTCAGTCCCGGGAGGGACACACCTGATCCTGTTGGGGACACGCTGTATCCCGTCACTGACACATTTGTGTCCTGTTGGGGACACGTGTGGTCCCATCAGTGACACCCCTGCTCCTGTTGGGACCCGGTCCTGTCAGGGACACTCTCGGTGCTGGCAGGGACGCTCTTGTCCCATCACTGTGCAGTCATTCAGGCACTTATCAGACCCAGACGAGCCACACCAGGGCTGACTCTCCTGCCTGCAGCCCCCGTGGATTCCAAAGGCCCTGGCAATCTCCCCCAACCTCTGGCTGACTCCCAGATTTCGGCACTTCATCCCATCCTCCTCCACCTCCTCCTCCTCGCGGGGAGGAAGGGGCTCCCCCTCCCCCCGCCATCTGTCCCCCCTCATCACTCTGTCAGCACTGGCTGGAATGTGGATTCATTTCGGGAGGAATGTCACCCCCCGCACGGCGAAGCCTCGCCCGAGCCATCTCCATCTCCTTCTCAACATCTCCATCCCTCTCCTGGCGCGGGGACCCCCGGCTTTGGGGACCCCTCGGGGGGCACTGGGGGGCTCAGGGGGCGCTGCTGGAGCTGCTGCCGGGCTGAGGCTGCCCAGGCACCCCGCGGCTGATTGAACGCAGACTCGGTGCCTGATTAAACTCATCAGAGGGGGATTTTTTTGTTCCGGCGTTTGGATCTGTTGCAGTTTCACCTTAAAAGGAATCTGTCGCCCTCGGGCAGGGGAGGGGGCCGGGGGCTTCAGAGGGAGGAAGGCAGCTGAAAGTTGGGTGCTTATCGGTCCCTGAGCATCCCTGGGCGCTGCCACGACCCAGCTAAATCGGGACAAGCGCCGGGGCCAGCCAGGCTGGGCCTGGGCACCGAGCAGTGATGCTGAACACACCCGTGGGTGCCAGGCTGGCAGGGCCCGGGGATGCCGTGGCCACCCGAGTCAGGTTGACTCAGCCCTTTGCCCGGCATAAAGGAGCCCATTCTTCGGCTGGAAGCTGATTTATGCAGCTCTCCCCACGCCCGGCTGCACAGCGGGGCAATTGACCCCTCTGGCTCCTCGCAGCCCCCCCAAACAGTGCCCTCCCCTGCCCCCAGAGTGAGGAGAACCAGGGCCCTGAGTGGGAGGATGAGGCTTTATTAAATTAATGTCGGGGCTGTGGACACATCCAGCGTGGCTCAGCCCCCAGTGTCAGAGGGGACTGGGGACCCTGGGGTGATGTAGCCCCAAAACTGAGCCCCAGGGTGCAGCTCTGGGGGTCCCTTGCCTCCAGCTGTGTGTCCTGCGGCAAATACTGGTGGAGTTGGAGGGGGAGGATTGTAGGGAATGAGGAAACAGAGTTTAAATTAAATACAGCCATGGCAACCCACTCAGAGGAAGCTCAAACTGAAGCAGGGGTCCCAGAGCAAGCATGCGAATTTGGGTGGGCTGTGGGGTGGAAAGGAACTTGGTGGTTCTTCACTCTGAAAAGGGGTGCAAAAAATCCACACAAACACATTAAAAACCATAAGGAGATGGGGAAACATTAGGAGGGGGCTGGGACGAGTGGGGGTACGGGGTTTTGGCAGGAAGGGAGCTACCAGAACATTCCCCCGACTGTTTTCACTCATCCCCTGAGGAGCAGGGCTCCTGCTCAGCTCTCAGCTGGTGGCTGGTCGGGTGTGAGGCACAGGACATCCTCCCCCAGGGCAGGGGGCACAGGGCTGGGGTGGACTCCACCCTGCTTCCCCCTCAGGGTGCCATCTCCAGGGGCGGGGACCTGCGGTGGCATCACCGCCGAGGGCTCTGCGGTGTCTGTGGGGATCTCCTGGGCCGGTGCCGTGCTGGCGATGCCGTTCAGCCCCTCCTCGCTGAATTCCGCCAGCTCTTCCAGACTGGCCTCCCGGTGCAGCCCGTTCTCAGCCCGGAGCCGAGCCTCCATCTCTGGGACCGCATCTGGTGCCTCCTGCACTGTCATCTCCTCCTCACTGGATGAGGCAGGCGAGGAGTCCTCCCCTGCATCCCGAGGGAGCTCGGTCCTTCTGCCTTCCTGCTGCCCACCCTCTGTCACCCTCACCCCCATCAGCTCCTGGTTGAATTCCAGGGCCTGCTCAACTATTTCCAAAATATCTGAGTCTTTCATGGTATCTGCTGGCATCTCTGCAGAGAGAACAGCCGTGTCAGGGATATCAGGAATCACCTCTGGAAAACCTCTCTGCTCCAGTGCAGAGCCCAGCTGAGGTGGGTTGGCCTCGAGGGGCTGCTCATTCCTGGGTGAAGAAGGGCTGTCACTGTCCAGTGCTTCCTCCTCTGTGGATGGCTGCTCTTCCAGTGGCTGCTCTGCTCCATCAGGCACTGCCTGGGCCTGCAGTCCTGCTGGAGGGGTGGCCTCGACCGTGTCGTGGAGAGCCACGCTGGACTCATCCTCATCTGCCCCCTCCTCCTCCTGCCCTGCTCCACTGGCATCCCTCTCCAGCTCACCAGTTGTGTTGTGGAGCTCCTCGTCAGATTCAGCAGCCAAATCTTCGGAATTCTCTGGTCCCTCCCATGCTCCAGTGCCTGTGGCACCCTGGGCTGGTTCATTGGTACCTCCTGCTAATGATTCCATGGCCCCAGGACAGCTGGGATCTGCTTCAGGCACAGCTGGGCCTTCCTCCAGCTCAGCAGTGTTCTCCTCATGCTTTGGCATCTCAGGTTCTTCAGTGGGCACCTCCATATCTTCATCTGCTTCTGCAACAAGCACCTCGAGCTGTGCTTTGCCCTCTGGCACTGGAGATACTTCTCCAGGAGCCTCCAGATCATCTTGGCTGCCTTCAGTCACTTCAACTTTAATTTCTTCAAAGTCCTCAGAGATCTCGGCTTCCTCCAAGCCGGACACCTCTTGGCTGGGAGCAGAGACCATGAAATAACCTTCCTCCTCCTCAGCACTCTCTGCCACAGCAGCCACCTCTGCCCCTGCCTCCTCTTCAGGGCTCTCTGGCACGGTGGGAGTTGGTGGCTCGTCCCTCCCTTCCAGGCACCCTTCACCTGTTGTCTCCGTGCTCTCCTGGGTCTCGGGAGGGTTTGTGCTGGGTGCACCCACAGCCAGCACCTCCCCTTCATAGAGGTTCAGGGCCGTGCTGTCTGGCAGGGTGTCCTCCAGCTCCACCCTCCTGCCGGTGCCTGCTGTGGCCTCTGGCTCTCCGGGGACCTCCTCCAGCGCCCAGTCACCGCTCCCTGCGCTGGCACCTGGCACCTCCTTCAGTGCCACGAGCTCTGAGCTGAGCCCTTCATCAGCCTCCTCATCCTGCACCTCCCACGGCTCCTCTGGGGCCTCGGCCAGCTCCTGTCTGTGCCCTTGCTCCGGGGCTCCTGGCGGGGCTGGGGCAGGCTCTGCCGTGGTGCCCTGCTGCTCCTGCCCTGCCAGCTCCTCTGCTGGCTCAGCCTCTGGCAGTGGCTGCTGCTGGCTCATCTCCTGGCTCTCAGCCTCTTCTTCATCATCCTCTTGGGCTTCCTCCAGCTCTGCTGGTGATGTGCCATCTATCCCCTCACTTTTCAGCCTTCCTGCACTGCTTGGGGTGTCATCTGCCCAGGCTGGCTCTTCTGGCCCCAAAACTCCCTCAGTATCCTCTGCTGTCAGCTCCCAGTCCTCTGGACAGGGCTCTTGGCCATTGCCACCATTGTCCCCACCCCAGGGCTCCTCTCCTGGCTCCAGCTCCTCCTGTTCCTCCTCCTCTTCCACTGAGCAGCTTTCCTGCAGGTCCTCAGGCTCCTCTGGGGCTCTGCTCTCCCACTCCAGGGGGTCACCTCCCACAGCCTCTCCTGCCCCGGGATCCTCTCCCACCTCAGAGTCTTCTCCTGCCCCATGGTCTTCTCCTGACTCGGGGTCCTCTCCTGCTGTGGGTTCCTCTCCTGCCTCAGGGTCCTGTCCTACACCATGATCTTCTCCTCCCAGCACCTCCCTGCTGGCCTCTCCTTTTCCTCCCTCACTGTCTTTCACTCTGCCTGTGTCCTCTCCTCCTTCCACAGCATCTTCCTCAGCTCCTAACGAAGCCTCCTCTGCTGGGATAGCCTCATGGACACTCAAGGGCTCCTGCTCTGGGCACAGCTCCTGTTCCCTTTCCTCCTCTGCAGCCAGATCTGTCTCACACATGGACATTTTCTGCTGCTCAGACCTTTCCTGCTCTGCATCAACAACGTCCTCTTCCAGGTGACCTTTTGTGGGCAAAACCAGGTGGTTTTCCACAAGGACAGCATGAGCAGCTTCCAGCTCTCTGTGCTCCTCTTCTTCCACATCTTTTCCTTCTTCCTGGAAATCTCCGTTCTCTTTGCAGGGAGCGCAGGGTCCTCTCTCCTCCTCATCCTCTGAGCGGTGTGATGGCTCTGTGCTTGGGGTCTCTGCCCTGTCCTCCTCTTGCTCTGGCTTTTCCCAGCTGGTCACTGCTTGTCCAGGGAGACCCCTGTCCCCTTCCTGGGCCTCCAGTTCTGTATCCTTTGGGCTCAGCACAGCAGGTATCTCCTCCTCTTCCTCCTCCTCCTCCTCCCATGCACCCAAATCCTCCTGGCTCCCTGAGGCCGTACCCGGTGGGGACACGGCTTTGTCCTGCAGGACGCTGCTCTCCACACCCAGTCCCTGGAGCACGACCTCCCCAACCCTCTCCTCTACCTCAGGGCTGTCACCGTCCTCAGAGCCCTCAGAGGGCTCTTGCTCTTCCCCAGGCCCCTCTGACACGGCCTCTCCAGCAGCCTCAGTGGGGAAAACGGGGCTGGGGACACAGGCCTCCCGGGGGGCCCACGTGCTGCTGAGCTCTTCTTTGGGCTGAGCATCACCTTCCATGGCCTTGAGAGCATCCTCCAGCGCCTCGCTGACCAGCTGGGCTGGGTACTGCAGCCCCACGCTGCCATTGGGAGGCTCTGTCCCCTGGCTCAGCACTCCCCTGTCCCCCTCTGGCCAGGCGAGACCCTCTCCCCGAGAGCTCTCCTGCTCTGGGGGGCTGGGGGGCTCTGGGGAGAGACGAGGGGCAGCTCTGCCTGCGAGGGAGGGGCTGGGTGTGGGGCAGCCAGGGGCAGCCGGCACTGCCGTGCCGTGGAGGGCTGAGCTGATTTTCTGAAGCTCCCTGGAGCTGAGGCTGCGGCTCCTGGGTGTGGAGGTGTCACTTTGGGGTTTTGCTAGCTGTCCCCTCCCCTCTGCCCTGGGGAAGATCGAGGGGCTGCTGCAGTGGTCTCGGGGCAGCAGCCGCCTGCTCTCAGGGCTCGCTGGAACCACTTTGCTGCTGCTCACCTCCAGTTTGACATCTGCAAAGAGTGAGGTGGAGCCGTGAGAGAGCGAGAAGCTGCTCCTCGGCTCTCCCAGCCCTCCCCGGCCGCCTCTCGCTGCCCCCTCTCCTATTTTTAAACAGCTCCTTCTTGGAAAGTGGGAAATTCCTCCCTCTGGAGTGCAGCGGATGCCGGTGGTCCCAGGGGATTCAGCATCAGGCCGGGACAATGCTCTGCCCAGCCGCAGCCACACTCGGGTCCTGCTGCCGGGGAAAGCGAGCAGGTGACAAGCTTTCCTTGTTTTTTTATGTTTTGCGGAAAAAGGAAATGCTCAGCTTGTTACTACAGCCCACCGTCCTGCTGGGCAGATCCCTTCCTGCCCTTCCCATGAAAGGCAGGGAATTAAAAATCGAGGCCAAGGAGCGGATAAGCCTTATCTGGGCTGTGAGGCTCGTGCCAAGAGCCCCCGGCTGCTGTTCGCACCTTCCTATCGCGGCCGGGCTGCCAGGAGAACGCAGGAAAATGTGTCTAAATCCAGCCTGATGCCCCGAGCCCCCCCAGGTGAGGCGGTGCCGGTGCCGGGGGTCCCTTACCTCGCACACCATTGGCCAACCTGAATTCCCCAGCCGGCGTCTGCAGGCGGCTGCTCTCCGCTTCCAGCAGCGTCCTGGGGGAGAGAGGAGAGGTCAGGAGCACCTGCAGGGTGGGTGCTGCAGGCTGCGGGGTGCTCCTGCGCACCCCAGCTCACCTTGCTGGCTGCGGCAGCGTCAGGGCAGGTAAACTGAGGCACGGAGCTGGTTGCGCCGCTCTGTGAGGGAGCGGGCTGGACCGAAGAAGCCCCCCTTGCTCCTGTCTCCAGTCCCATCCCCCCGTGGCCGGGATTAGTGTCCGCGCAGGGTGACATCATGCTCTGCCGGGGAGGCCCCTCGCCTGGGCTGGGCCAGCCCCTATTCTCATGCTAATTGTCCCCCCGGTCCCTGGCAGCGGCCTTTGTGTGGGGCCATCTGGAAGGGGCGCAGGGCTACCGAGACCCCCTTGTGCCCGAGACCCCCTTGTGCCAAGACCCACCTGCACCTGCCAGGCTCGGCCCCAGGGCAGCGGCCGTTCCCATCGGGAACCTCACCTGTAGGTCGCCACTTCCAGGCTGAGGGACATCTTGAGGTGCATGAGCTGCTGCCTGTCCTCCAGCACCCGGGCGATCTGCACCCGCAGGCTCTGCTGCTCCTGCTCCAGGGCCTCCATCGCCAGCTGCGGGCAGCACAGGGGGGTCAGGGGCACTGCCTGGGACCGGGCAGGTGGCTCCGCTCATCCCCTCAGGATGCTGAGGGACGGGAGCCTGGGCGCTCATTTTAGCACGGGGGGCTGAGGATGGGGCGAGGAGATGAGCAGGGCTGAAAGGTGATGGGGAAAGGGCTGCTGGATGAGGGAGGAAGAGCTGGGATGATCCGGGGCTGTGGGATGCCAGCGTGGGAAAGAAACAACTTCCAGGCGAGCAGCCGCGGCTGTGGCACCCTCTGCCCCAGGACACCAGTGGCTGGTCCCAGGATCTGGAACAAAGGGGGACGCTTTCCCCGGGCAGTGTTCACGCTGTTCCCGGGATTTCCAGCCCAGCACGCCTCCACCTCCCTCTGCTGAATCACTTTTGCAGCTGTTGAATCGCAGCTGCAGCCCAGTCGGTCCGAGTTTTTCCTGCCCACAGCCCCGCCGGTGCCTGCACCCCCCATCGGGGGCAGTCGTTATCCCGGGATCCTGACTCTGGAGCCCAGCAGGACATGGAGCCACGGGCCCGGGCAGGGTGCTGGGGCAGGACCCGGTGTCTGAGTGCTGCTCCCCTGGGTCTCTGTTGTGCCAGGGACAGAAATGTCCCCAAGCCGCTTTGCTCTTCCTGCCGCCCTCCCCACCTTCATCTGCAGCTCATCCAGGGCCACCGTCCATCCCTCCCCTGGGGAAAGGTTTTCCCTGGTCTATTCCCTCTGTCTTGCCTCCTCCCGTCCACCTCTCCCATCCCTTTGCTCAGGGATGTGCCCTGAATACCCGCCCAGGCACCCGCAGCCCCCAGCTCTCCCCCTCCCCAGCTCCTTCCTGCTGCCTTCACTCGCCTGGAACTTTTCTGCTTCCCCGCGCTGCTCCTGCCACTGCTGGGCCAGGCTCTCCTCCAGCATCTCCTTCCTCACTTTGAGCCCCGCCAGGTCCTTCTCCAGGTGCTGCAGCTGCAGCTGGCTCTGCTGATTGTCCTCCACCGCCTTCCACAGGTTCTCCTTGGCCTGGCAGAGGGAATCCTCCAGCTGGTACACTTCTGTCTTGTAGGTCTCCACTGCCCCTTTCCAGATCTCCGAGAGCCTCTTGGAATAGTCCTCCACCTCCACCGGCTGGAAAGCCACCGGTGCGCAGCGGAAGCTCTCCAGGCTGTGGGAGAAACTCGCGATCTCCTGGTCCAGCCCCGCTTTCTCCTCCTCGTGCACCTCCAGCAAGGCTTCCACCTCCTTCTCCAGCTGCACGGCTCTCTCCTTCAGCCAGATCTGCGCTCTCCTCTCCTCCTCTAGCTCCTTCCTGCTCAAGGACAGCTGCTTCTTAGCTTCTTCTCGGGCTGCCTGCTCCTTCTGGCACCTGCTTTTCACCTGCTGCACCTCCTCGTAGAGGTTGTCCCTGGCCAGCTCGGCCGTGCACTTCTCCCTGAAGGCGAGATCCAGCGCATCCCGCAGGGCTCGCAGCTCCTCCTCGTACTTCACCCGCCACGAGTCCCCGGCCGGGCTGTTCTTGCTGCTCTGGATTTCAGCTCGCAGCACCTCGTTCTCCTCCTCCAGGAACTTCACGCGGGCCAGGTACGCCTCCAGCCGCTTGTTGAGGTCCCACATCTGCAGCGATTCCTCTCCCAGGGCTCTCGCCCCTGCGAAACTTTCCGTGCTCAGCATCGGCGCTGCCGGAGGGTGCCGGGGGAGGAGGATGCCGGGGAGAACTCCGAGGTCGAGTGGGAAAGGCGGGGAGGGAAGCGAGTGGCTGGGAGCAGAGGGGAGCGCAGCTATTCATACTCTGCGATGGCGAGTGGGAGGCCCCCGAGACCCGGACGAGCAGCCGGCTTTAACCCTTGCACGGCCGAGCCGACTCCAGCCCACGTGGGCTTGACAGTGAGCTCTGATTTCCCAGCCCCGCGGAAGAGCAAAAGGTGTTCCTTCGCACTTCGGAAGTGTGACTTGAGGGCTTGGATCCTCTCCCGACGCGGCTGGGCTGGGAATGCCCTCCCTTAAAGCCTGAGGGCCGTGCCAGGGAGCTGGAGGGCGGCCGTGGGGCTCGGCGTGGAGCTTGGGAGATGTCCAAGGGCAGTTGGCAGATGCCCATCCTGAGGGCTTGGCTGCGGCATCCCTCGGGGTCAGCCCCGTGCTGCTCCAAAGCCTCGGGGCGAGGGGCCCCAAAGGAGCCCACCGAGGGTCTCACAGTCCTGGAGAGGGGATGGCTGCACATCGGAGCTCTCGGTGCCCGGGTTTCGGGCTCAGCACAAGCCACGGCAGGTCGGGTGCCCTGGATGGATCCGTACGGAAATCCCTCTGCGGAGCGAGGAGCCTCGGGGAGCGCAGCACCTTGTCCCAGCCAAGGCTTCCTTGGGCGCTGCATCCAGCTGTGTCCAGCTGCACTCTTCCCTCTTTCCAGATGTCCGGGCTGAATGGAGCCGAGAGCCCAACGGGAGCTGCTTCTCCGGCAGCCTCCGAAACTCCGCCTTTGGTTCCCGACAGAGCTCCCACCCGCGAGGTCAGAGAGTCGCGGTCGGGATAGGAATCGCTTCACGGGGAGCATTTGGGGACTGGGAGTTTTGATTTTCTCTTTCTATTTACCCCAGATGACTTATTTGGGGGAAGGGCAGTGGGCTGGCAAGGGGCGGAGATTCAAAAATTCAGACTCGGGAGGTTTCTGTGGACAAAAGGAGCAGGAAAATGTCTCTTGGGGAGAGAATTGTTGCCAGCGTTTCCTCCCGGGAGACGGGGATTTTCCCACGGGAGGGTCCCCGCTATGTCCTCAGCAGGGCAAGGAGGACAGGAACATCTCCTCCCGGGCTGTCCCACGGGACAGGCTCTAGGCGAGCGCTTCTGGAAAGACAAGCAACAGTCCCCTCTGCTGGCAAAGGCCACCCAGAGCCGTCCCCGAGCTCCTTCCAGCCTCGAACCATTCGGGAGCTGCTGGGGGTCTCACGCCCTCCATATGGGGGAGCAGCAACAGCAGCAGCCCTCGGAGGGACGGGCTTTTCCCCCGGTGCTTGGATCGTGGGACGGCGGGCGGGGGGTACGGCCCAGCTCAGGGGTCCCCAAAGGCATCGTCTTTCCGGCTCATCTCCAGCCAGACATCCTGTCTGGCTCCTTGGCCTGGCTCTGCTTTGCCTCTCACAGCCAAGATTGAAATGCCATTAAGGAGCACAGGGAGCGCTGAGCTTGAATAATTGATCTGGGGTCCCCAGAGCGCTGGACAGTGAGGTGATGAAGCTCTGCTGCATGTCCTTATCCTCCTCCTCATTTCCATAGCACATCTGCTCCAAAGCTTCCCTGCCCCCTGGCTGCTCCCACTTTCCTCCTTTCCACCTCCTCTTGGGTGTCCCTGGGATGTCCAGGTGCCTCCAAAACTGGTGGCTGCTGCAAAAGGACCCCCAGTGCTTATGGCCACATTGGGAGGTGTCCTGGCAGTTTCCTTCCTCCCTGGCCTTGTCCCCCTCTTCCTCTTCCTGCCTTTTGGGGTTCCCCATTGTGCCTGGTCCCCTCTCTCTCAGCCAAGAGCAGGGTTCAGCAGGATGATCCCAATCCTGCAGCCCAGGGAGGACTCAGGATCCCCAGGGGTGTTGAGGAGTCCCTGTGCTTCCCTGCCTGGGGGATCCTGGGGGCAAAGCTGGGGGCACCCTGGGGTGTACATGTCTGTGAATCCCTTCCTTCTCCGGTGTGCTGGGGGTTGTCAGTGACTGAGGATGGGGACATCTGTGCTCCTGGGGGATGACTGGGGTCAGGGGACTCCAAGAAGGGGGATGTCCACTGCCCTGAGGGGTGCTCATGGTCAGGAGTCTCTCAGGAGGGGGATGTTCCTGTCCCTGGGGGGTGTGGGGGATCAGGACCCCCTAGGATGGGGATGTCCCTGTCACTGGGGGGTGTGGGGGATCAGGACCCCCTAGGATGGGGATGTCCCTGTCACTGGGGGGTGTGGGGGATCAGGACCCTCTAGGATGGGGATGTCCCTGTCACTGGCTGACGCTCAGGATGAGGAGGCACTCCTGAGGGGTTCTCAGGCTCAGGACCCCCTGGGCTGGGATGTCTGTGCCCCCTGTCCCCGTGGGGTGCTCGGGGTGGCTATTCAGCCATGGCAGAGGTTTGTGGGGGTTCGAGGGTGTCCCAGCCCCACAGCCCCAGGGTGGGAGCTGGCATGTGCTTGGCACGGGATGCACGGCACGGGGTGCATGGCACGAGGAGCTGGCACGGGATGCTTGGCACGGGCTGGTACGTGACTTTGAGCAGGGCTGGAGGAGGAGGGGGAGGAAGCACAGCTGGGCCCTGTGGCCCTTCCAGCCTGAACACAGCTGGGGCTGGGGGCTGGGGCTGTCGGGGGTCCCTGTGGGACCAGACCCCGTTCCATGCCCTTGGCTGCTGGGGCTGGGCATGAAGGAAGGGATGGGGATTCTCTGGTGTCTGACAAGGGTCGTGCCCTGCTCCTGCCTTGCTTCTCTCCCTTCTCTCCTGCCCCTTCCAGGAGCTGGATGTCCCAAGGACTTTGCCCCATCGATGCCAACAGCCAGGAAGGACTAGGAGGTGCCCTGGGAAGGAGCTGGCAGAGCAGCAGCCCTGGAAAGTTCCCTCCGAGCCAGCAAGGAAAGCCCAGGCTTGCCGGAACATTTGTTCCCAGTTAGGATGAGGGACGCTCCTTGCTGAGCAGGCACTTCGCGGCTCCCCCAGCAGCAAGCCCTTTCCCACAAAGCACATTTTTTTGCACGGATTTCCCATCCGGGTGCAGGATGTGACCTCACGGGTTGGGTTTGGGGGGACAGAGGCTGGGGCAGCCCTGGGGCGCGTCCCGGTGCCCGTCCCGGGCGGAGCAGCGCGGTGTGAGTGTCCCAGCAGCCGAGCATCACCCGCTGGAGCCTCACCCCTCCCCGCACCGCTCCGCTCCCGAGACCGCCTCTGCCGCCTGCAATTATTTCCCAGGGCGACAAATGATTAATTCTGCTCAGGAGCTGGGCTTTCTGCAAACTCACCCGAGCAATTCCCTGGCAGGCTCCGCGCCGCCCCCCCGGGCAGGGAATGCTCCGTGCCAGGGGAAGTTTGAGTGAGATCTGGTTAAAAACCCCCCTGGTGCCAGCTCCTGGGCGCTGCCCTCCTGCCAAGGGGCTCGAGTCTGTAAATGAGGCGTCCCAGCTGCCCCCCAGACCTCACTGAGCGCCCGGGTTTCCTGGCATTTCCACATTCCTCCAGGAACAAGCGCCATAAACTATCCTGACGGAGATGCAGGTGGGTAAACTGAGGCACGGCATCTCTCTGCCGGACCAAATTTGGCTGTGAGTGCTGTGTCGGGAGGTCGGGTCTGGCTGCTCCCACCAACCTTTCGGGGCTGGCAAAGCCCCTGGGTTCCCTCAGCCCTCGGACGGTGCCTCCACCCACCTCGGCCTGGCGGCTTTTGCATGACAAAGCCTCTGCTGGCTACCGGGACCCCCGCCCGTGGCCCCTTCCCCGTCCGGCTGAAGCTGCCAAATACGAGGAATAACCATTCCAAGGGCATTGCCACGGGGGGGGCTGCGGCGGGGACACCCCCCGCTCTCTGGCAGGGTCCGAGAGACTTCTGCTGCATTGGGTTAACACCGTGCCCGGGCTCAGCATCCTCCTCTCGTGCGGGGTTTGCCAGCTGCCAGGAGGGAGGGACGGGGAGGGACGAGGAGCCTGCCAACACGGTAATATCTTTTTCTTTTTTTTTTCCTTCTTAATTAGGGGAAGGAATAAATATAAAAGGAGGAGGGAAAGGGGAAGGGAGAAGAAGGAAAAAAAAAAAAAAAAGAAGAGTGGAGGACACGGACACACACACAGAAGCCTCTTTTCTCGGTGCCTGCACTTATGCCTGGTGCAGCTCCTTCCCAGCCGTCCTGCCAAGCTGCCCCGGAGGAGCCGCAGCTCAGCCCCACGCCGGGAGCCCGGGCCAGGGGCGGCCCCGCCGGCTCCGCCGTTCCCCCCGCAGAACCGAGGGGTCCCCGCCGCGGGGCTGCGGCCACGCACGGAGCCAGGTGGGGTGCGGGGAGCGCGTGGGGCCGGCGGTGCCCCGGGAGCTGCGGTGTCCCCCCGGCGCTGCCGTACTGCGCTTTTCCTTTCAATATCGCGTTTCACCCCCGCACGGGGAGAAAGTGAGACGAGACCTGAGCCGGTTTGGGGATGCCGAGAGCTTTCCTGGCGCTTTTCCCCGCGGGATGCAGGCGCTCGGGGCATCCTCCTGCCCCGCAGCGGGGGATGCTCGGGGCTGCGGGAGCCCACGGTGCAGCTTTCGGGGAGGTTTGTCCTTGTCACCGACCCTCCCGAGCGCGGCACCGCGCTGCAAGTTCTTTCTAAAAGGGGCGGCTTGTAGCGGCTCCGCAGCGTCGGGGGCAGAGGGGGGGCTGGGGGGGCTCTGGCGAACTTGGAAGGAGAAAGGACTTTGGTGCTGCCCGGCTGCTGCAGCCTGGAGCCCAGCCCGTCCCGCAGCCCCTCCGGCAGCGAGGCTCCAAGGTGTGGGGGAGAAAGGGCATTTTCCGGGCTGTTTCAGCAGCTGCTCCCACGGGATCCTTGTTCTGGGAGCGGGGCCGGGGATCCAGGATGGGTTTGGTGTGTTCAGTCAGTGGAGAGTCCTCTCCGTCTGTCCTGCAGAGCTTTTGGCCGGGTCAATGTCCCAAGGAGGCTGAGATCAGGGTAGCAGTGGAAAGGGAAACTGAGGCACGGAGCTGGCCAGTGATCTGTCTCCCCACGCTCCTGCCCGGTCGTGTAGCTGCTCCGCGTGGGGGTGGGCTGGGCTCAGGGGCAAAGCTGCCCGGTCCCGGGGGGCTGGGGCCGAGCCCAAGGTTTGGGATGGCTCTAGGGCACCGCCGGCTCTCCCTGTCCTCCCCCAGCTCTCTCGGCTCTGTCCCCACCCTCTGCTGGTGTCCCGGTGGGGGCGGCAGGAGGGGCCGAGGGAAATTTTTTCAGGGTTTTCATGGCTTTTTCCAAGCGATCAGCCCCAGTGTGAACCCCAGATCCACCGTGGGGTGTCCCGGGGAAAGGGAATTTTACTGCAGTCCCCTTCCCCTCCCGCAGCCGGAGCATTTCATCCCCGGGATGAAGGGGCTGCCCTTGAGCATCCCTGCCAGGGACCGCTGCTCCTGTCACGGCGACTTCTCCTATCTCAGCCCAACCCAGAACCTGTTGCTCTTCCTTTTGGCTGCCCGGGAGGTGGGAGAAACCTCCCTCTGCCCCAGCCTGGAGCCTTTTTCCAGCTTCTGGGCTCAGGCGTGGCAGGGAGAGGATGAGCAGGATGTTTCAGCGCTGCTTTTCAGGGAACGGCTTTAGACTGGGGGAACTGGGAGATCGGGTGATTTTGTGCCCTGAGGGGGGAGAGGCGAATTTGCTGGTGAGCAGCAGCGGGGCTGGGTCTCACTTGAGCTGCGGTGCTGAAATCGGGGACTCCCATCCTCCGCCCCACACTTCTGTTCCATCTCGTGCCTCAGTTTCCCCAGCGGAGCCGGGGAAGGCGGAGACGGGTGTGCAAACCTTCCACGTGCTCGTGTGACACACTTACCCAGGGGTACACGTGCTCGTGTGTCCCTGGCGGCTCCTGCCGGCTCTGCTCACCCCTCGCTCCTCTGCGCGGGACCAAATCTCCCCAGGGACCCTCCCTGTGCTCTCCCTGCAACAAGGAACCCCTTTCTCCCTGTTGGGGGGAGGGGGCGAGGGGTTCTGGCAGCCGGAGGGACCCCCCCTTCTCCCCACCTGCTTCCGGCCTTTTAAGCTGTGCCAGCAGCCGCTGCCAAGAGGCTGCGGGGCGCTCCCCGCGCCCCCCTGAGCGGAGCTGGCGTGTGCCCGGCACGGCCCCGCTCCGGGGACCCCCCGATGGCCCCGCGGGGACGGGTCCTGGGCAGCTCCGGGGGGACGGACACTCCCGAGCCGGGGCTGTGGGTCTGTCCCCCGCAGCGGCGTGGCCGGAGCCCTTTGCTGGTGGCGATGGGGCTGGAGCGGGGCCAGGCCGTGCCGGCGGCTGCTGACTCATTCTGCAGCTGAGCATCCCTGGAAAGCCACCGCTCCCCCCTCCTCCAGCTCGCTGCGGGCTGCCAGGGCACCTTGGGAGCCTGGATGAGCAACCATCAGGGGACGAGGGGCCGCGGAGCAGAAAATCCCTCTCCGGAGATGAAAAGGGACACCCTCCGGGCATCCACTCGCAGCATGTCCCGCCTTGAGCCTTGCACCAGGTGATGCAGCCCCAGATCCTGCAGGTCCTGTGCTCAGCTCTGAAAGCAGGGCCGAGCCCAGGGGAGAAAGGAAGATCAGTGCTGTCCCAAAATAGACTTCAGCTCCATTTTCCACCTGGTTTCCCACAGAAATGGAGGTTAGCTGGCCCTGCCACGTGCGTGTGTGCCTGTGTGTCTGTGTGATCCCGGCAGCTTCTGAGCTCAGAGCTCTCTGGGACAATTGAGCCTCACAAGCTGCTACCATTATAACCATTCAACCTTTTTTGGCTGCCCTTCCCTAGTCCTGATCCCAGCTTTTCCTTCATAACTTGTGGGTTGAAAGATTTTCCATTTGTGGAAAACAGGAAAAATACTCATTGTAAAAATCCAACCCCAAACCCCAAACTTGACGTCTGAGAGTCTCTTGCCAGCATGGGACTCCAGGAGCTCGGGCCATCACCCATGGGCAGAGTGAAACTGGCTTTAACCCTTTCCATATCCCTTTTCCAGTGCCAGCACACAGGTCCAGTCAGGGGTGGGCACAGGAGGGAAGCAGACACTCCAGCTTGACCAATTCCTGTGGAGTTTTTATCACTTGGATTTCCTCCCCGGGGCTTCAGGGCCGCTGTTCGCGCCACCGTGGCGCCTTTGGGGACGGGAAGAAAAGGTGCCCGTGACAAAAGCCTTCCTCGCTTGGCTGCCCAGGGGGTGGCACCAGCCTCTGCACTGGAGCCTGGCCATGGCTGCCATGCAGGAAGGTTTTGTCCCTTGGTCCAGAACCATGGGGCTGCATTCAAAATATCCGTCCGGAGCGCAGAAAGGCCCTGGCTTGGCGCTGGCATCACTGGCCAGGCCCTGGGCAATCGAGCTTTGGCTGCTCCTGCTGAGCTCCCACTGGACAGGGGACGTTTATGGTCTGCATGGGATGCTCCATGTCCACACTGTGGTGCCAGGGGCTTTAAACCCACTGAGTTTTGTGTTAGGGGCTGTCCATGCTTAGTGCCTTGTGCTGCGGGCTGTGCAGCCACGGTGTGTGGTGCCAGGGAATGCACACGGTGTGCCCTGCCAGGGCTGGGTGTCCGTGGTTCCAGGGTGAGTGTCCGTGGTTCCAGGGGCTGTACATCCACACTGTGCCTTGCCAGGGCTGAGTGTCCGTGGTTCAGGGGCTGTGCATCCACACTGTGCCCTGCCAGGGCTGAATGTTCTTGGCATGGAGTGCCAGGCTTGTATGAACGTGGCTCCAGGGGCTCTACAGCCATGGTAATTGGTGCTGGGGGTGCATGCACAGCGTTTGCTGCCCAGAGCTGTGTTCACACCCTCTCCCCAGGGCAGGGGTCCCCTGGGCACACTCTGGCTTGAAGAGGGATGCAGGTGAGCAGGACAGAGTCCTGTCAGGCTGTCCCTGGCAGCCAGTGACTGCAGACGGAGCTGCCTAAGCTGCTCCTGTGGCTGCTGAAATCAATACAGCGCAAAGAGCTCATAAATTACAAAGCTGCTCTGAGGTGCTCTGTTCCCAGGCAATGGCACAATGCACCCCTGACATGGGAAGCTGAGGAGCCTCCAGCCCCCCAAGGAGCCTCTGCAGATGGGTGAGGGGGTATTGGAGCAGTGCATCCACCAGGGACATTTCCTCACATTCCCAGCATCAGCGTCCTCTCTGGACAGCTGCAAGAGCAGCAAGACTGCAAGGGCAGCTGGAACCCCCTCTGAGGTGCCCATCACCCCAGTGCTGCTCCCTGGAGAGGGCTGGGGGCTGGTGCTGGTCCCTGGGCTCTCCTTGCAGCCCACCGGTGAGAGCTCTTTGTGCCAGGCAGCCTGAGAGAGGCCTGGGACATAATGGCAGCTTTGGTCAGCCTCGCTTTTCCCAGCCCGTGCGCGGGAAGCCTCCGGCGTGAGCTGAATGGCAAAGAAGCCGTCCTGCTCCTTCCCTCCCCCTCTGCCCCGTGCTTTGTGTGCTCCGGGCTGTCCCCCCGGCTGCTCGCTGACCTCAGCTCCCTCCACCAGCCACCCCTGGCAGGGCACACGTGCGCAAGCACTCGCACACGCGTGTGCACACCTGCACGTGGGCAGCGGCATGAGCACACGCGTGTGTCCCGCTTGCTTCCTCGCCTCCCTCGCCACCTCCTTCCTGACCAAACCCTTGCCGAGGTTTCCTGACCAAACCCTTGCCGAGGTTTCTCAAGGTGGCACCATGGGGACACGGCCCCGGCGCTGGCATCGCCTCCCTGCCCACGGCAGCCAGCACTCGGGCTGAGCCCGTCTGTGCTCTCCGGGCCAGGCTGGACTCTGCTGTCCCCAGGGGACCTGGCTCCTGGGGAAGGTCAGAGGGCTTGGATGGCACCCAGTGGCTCCCAGCCAATGGTCCTGGTTGCTCATGTTGTCTTCTCCCTCTTGTGAACCAGGGCACATTGATTTCCCTTCCCTCTCCCCTCCGCTGTGCCCAGCTCACCCTGCGGCCGTGCCTGGGCTCCCCTCTGTGCCCCAATGCAGCACACATCGTCCCATCCCCCCCACACATGGGCTGGGGGCTCTCCCCAGCCGCTCCCCCTCATGCAGGGATGGGAGATTTTTGGTGCTTTGATGGATTCTAAGAGCAGCTGGTGGTTTTTATTCCCCCCTTGCAGGGCAGAGCATGGCCCCAGCCCTCCCGCTGCTGCTGCTGCTCTGGGTCTTTGTCCCCACAGTGGTCCCCGAGGGGTTTGGCCCCGGAGATGGCACAGGTAACTCGGCATCATCAGCCACATTTCTGTAACTCCCTGCCCCGTTGGTGCCCTGTACTGGGGGTCTCGGGGGGGCCCTCACCCCAGTCCTGCTCACGGCTCCTCTCTTCTCCCACCCAGAGGACCTCAAGGCTCTGCAGGTCTCCATCCCACGCCACCCAGCCCTGGACGCTGTGCTGGCAGGCGACATCACCATCCCCTGCCTCATCACCTACCTTGGCCCCCAGCCCACCGCTGGCATGGGCGGCCGCCGGGCAGTGCTGGGAACCCCCCGGGTCAAGTGGACCTTCATCTCTGAGGGCAGGGAGGTGGAGATCCTGGTAGCTCGGGGGGACAGGGTGAAGGTGAGCGAGGACTATCGGCTGCGCGCCTCCCTGCCCATCTTTCACCAGCGCTACACCAACGCCTCGCTGCTGCTCACCGAGCTGCGCCCCAACGACTCGGGGATCTACCGCTGTGACGTGCAGCACGGCATCGAGGACGGCCACGACATCCTCGATGTCAAAGTCAAAGGTACTTCAAAGTGGGGAGCGGTGGGATTCGGGGCACGCCGGGGCCCTCTCCCACTCAGCAAACGCTCCCCTGGGTGCATCTGCACCCACGTGGGTGGGGGCCGCTGTGAAGCCCCTTCCCATGGCCGTGTCTGCCCCCAGGGGTGGTGTTTCATTACCGGGAGGGCTCCATGCGCTACGCCTACACCTTTCCCGAGGCGCAGGAAGCTTGTGCCCGGATCGGCGCCAGCATCGCCACCCCCGAGCAGCTCTACGCCGCCTACCTGGGGGGCTACGAGCAGTGCGACGCCGGCTGGATCGCCGACCAGACCGTCAGGTGGGCACTGCAGCTGCCCAGCCATTGTGGCCTCAGCCAGTCATTCCCCCGCCAGTCACCAGCCCTCCCCTGTGCTTTCCTGCCTCAGGTACCCCATCCAGACGCCCCGTGAGGCCTGTTACGGGGACATGAACGGCTACCCGGGGGTGAGGAACTACGGAGTGGTGGACCCGGAGGACATGTACGATGTGTACTGCTACGCTGAGGACCTCCCAGGTGCCTGTGGTGCCACCAGCCACCTCTTGCCCTCCTCTGCTTTTGCTCCCACACTAACTTGCCCCTGTAACCTGTTGTAAACCTAAGTGAAAAAGCTGCCCCTGAGCTGCAGATGCTGTCTCTCGGGTGCAGGGACTTGCTGTGCCACTTCCTAAAGCATTCCTGGTTGAGTTTGGTGGGGTGTGGGGCTCTCTGTCTTGCAGCAGGTGGTTCTCAGGCTGGGGTGTGCCCACAGTGACCTGCCCCAGACCAGCAGCATGCTGTGTTAGGTGGTTTGGGGTTTGGTTGTGCACGTGCCGTGCTTTGCACAAGATGAAGGGCTGCAGCTCCTGCCTGGCAATGTGTGCCTGGGGGTGGCAGGTCCCTCCTTTGGGTCCCAGTGGGGCTCCCCACTGGTGGTGGCACTGGTGGGGTTGGTTGAGTGGTGCCAGGCAGGGGGCAGGGACAAGGGACAAGTCCCTTGTGTGTAGGGGACGAGGCACTGGGACAAGGCTGCAGCGTGAGGGTCGATCCGCACCTTGGGGCAGTGGTCCCCAGCCCTCCTCAGCGTGAAGCCTCACCACAGCATTTGCTGGTCTTGCAGGTCTCCTTTAGAAATGTCCCACACACGGATTGCTCAGTGCAGGGTGTGGATCTGCTCCTCTGCAGTCCCCTTCATGGGTGCTTCAAAGCGTCAGGTCTGTTTGCAAGGACAGGAATCAATCCCACGCTGTGTGGGAGCCCCAGCTGGGCCTGGGCGGTGGCTTTCTGTGCACGTGCAGGGCAGCAGGGAAGCAGGCAGGGATGCAGGCAGGAAGGCAGGGATGCAGGCAGGGAAGCAGGCAGGGAAGCAGGCAGGAAGGCAGGAAGGCAGGGATGCAGGCAGGAAGGCAGGGATGCAGGCAGGGAAGCAGGCAGGGATGCAGGCAGGAAGGCAGGGATGCAGGCAGGGATGCAGGCAGGGATGCAGGCAGGAAGGCAGGAAGGCAGGGATGCAGGCAGGAAGGCAGGAAGGCAGGGATGCAGGCAGGAAGGCAGGGATGCAGGCAGGGAAGCAGGCAGGGAAGCAGGCAGGGAAGCAGGCAGGAAGGCAGGGAAGCACTCGGGACCTCCTCCAGCCCCTGGTGTGCCTCCACACACTGGAGTCTCCATCTCCACGCCGGCTCCTGGGGTCATGCAGAGAGTGGATGAGTGAGCGGCTCCCGCAGCCCATGCCCCACTCCCCAGCTCTGACACCCATCTCCTTCCTCTCTTGGCAGGGGAGATCTTTCTGGAGACGGCCCCAGACAGGTTCACGCTGGAGGAGGCGGCGCAGCGCTGCCGGGCGCTGGGTGCGGAGCTGGCGAGCCCGGGGCAGCTGTACGCAGCCTGGAACGCGGGGCTGGACGCCTGCAGCCCCGGCTGGCTGGCTGACGGCAGCGTCCGCTACCCCATCGTCACCCCCCGGGAGCGCTGCGGCGGGGCTCTGCCGGGCGTCAAAACCATCTTCGTGTTCCGCAACCAGACGGGATTCCCCGACGCCCAGAGCAGATACGATGCGTACTGCTTCCGAGGTAAAGAGGGACAGCCCTGGCCCGCTCCTGCTCCCGAGCAGGGAGCGGTGGGAGGCCTCGGGAAGGCTCCGGGCGGGGGTGCGTGTCCCCAGCTGGGTGCTGGTGTTGGGGTGCTGGTGTTGGGGTCCCTGTGCCGGTCTGTGCCGGTGCCGCGCTCTCAGGGCAGGGAGGGGATGTTTGGTACCGTCTGAGCCGTGCTAGGATAGGGATGCCTTGCATGCCGATAGACCTGATAGGGGAGGCATAACCTGCATGGTCCTGACACCGCATGCTGACACCTCTCGATAGAGCAGGGATGCTCTGCATGGTCCCAGCAGTGCATGCTGACACACCGTGGCACAGTAGGGAGCTCCTGCATGTCCTCAGTACCTCGTGCCACGCTTTGGGACAGAACAGGGATGTCCATGTGGCACCGTCAGTCTGCGTGAGCTCCGTGGGCACGGCTCCAGGAGGGTTCATCCCCCAGGGCTGCTGGCCTGGGGAGCACTCCTGAGTCTGTGGGGCTGTGGGACACAGCCTGCCAGGCTGGTTTGGGGTGATCCCTGCAGGAATGAGACCTGTGGGCAGCGGCAAGGCACTGCCTGTGAGCAATGAGGCAGGACAGAGGCTGGCAGGGATAACGGGCACAGAAGGAAGAAGAGCTCCACTCCTCCTGCCTGATCCCACATCTCCATGTATCCACTCAGGGCCGTGGGGGCTCACAGTATGGGGATGCTCTGCATCTCTGTGCCTCAGTTTCACCATCTCTCAGCAGGGAAAGCCATGGGTTAGGCAGGATGGACCCACCCCATGATTCCACAAACCCTGTAACCCACTAACTCCCCATGCATGTGTGCCCTCCCCGGGGTAGGGATGGGGGTGTAGAGAAGGATCCCCACAGGGAGGGGAATGTAGGGTTCAGGATCTGGCCCCACCATGTGCTGCCAAGCTCCTGCTGGAGCTGTTGGCTCTGCCAGCTCTGCCAGCACCTCGGAGGGCCTGATCCTCCCCCACGCTGACCCTGTCTAGAAGGGGAAGGGGAGGCCGAGGAGAGCTGGGTCCCTACTGGGGTGCCAAGGCTCCAGGCCTGTTCTGGGGTGAAGTCATCTCTGACTGCTGCAGAGCCAGGACAGGGCAGTAATATCCCACTTTCTTTCTGCCCACAGAAGGGACAAACTCTTTCCCTGAGGCTGCAGGAAAATACCAAGCCCAAGAGCCTGAGGAGAATCTCCTCCAGGAGATTGTCACAGTGGCAGAAAAGCTGGAGGAGCTGCAGCTGCCCAGAGCGCAAGTGGAGATTGAGTCGCGAGGGGCTATTTACGCCGTCCCTTTCTTTGAGGACACTGATCTGAGAAAGCCGAGCCAGTCCCCCGAAGACGCACTGGGGCCAGGGGCCCGGCACCCCCCACTAGCTACCTCCGTGTCCTCAGGTCACCCCACCTCTGCCCCCCCTTCCCCCACAGCCCTGGCCACCCCCGAGGCAGGTGTCCCACTTAGCTGGGGAGCCCGTCCCCTGCGGAGCAGAATGGGGGGACAGGGACAGTGGGGACTGTCCCACACTGGTAGGTGGAGCAGGGCTGGGACACAGAGAGCAGCCACAGAACGGAGGTGCCAGGGTCACAAGGAGAGGTCAGTGGCACCTGAGGGTGCCTGGGTCACCCCAGCTGTCCCTGTCTGTCCCGTGGAGGCAGCAGCCATGGCCGGGGCTCCAGCATCTTGGTGTAGGGCTGTGCGGTGGCACGGGGACATCCGCGTGTCCCTCGGCTGGAGTCCGGCGTGCAGGGTCTGTACTGGACCAGGCTTTAGCAGCACAAGGAACTGGAGAAGGGAGCTGGCAGCTGGAGGGACGAGGTGCAGCGGTGAGGGGCTGAGCACGGCCCCCACCACAGGAGAGCTGGGGCTGGGCTTGGCCGTGGCCAGGCCAGAGCTCAGTCAGCCGTGCCGGCTCAGAGGGGACAGTGTCACACGGGCTCGGGGCCACTTCCATCTCCCCGCACAACTTTGTGCGAGCAGGATCGGCAGTGCTGGCAGGCGATGCGGCTCCCGGCGCCGGCCTCTCACTGCCTTTCTGCCTTGCCCTTTGCAGAGGAGGAACAGGGAGCAGCGCCGGGCAGGGGCCCTGGCAGCACATCGGCGGAGAGCCCGAGCGGAGGGCGAGACCCCGGCCAGCCCATGGAGCCAGAGGGACCCACCGGTGCCCCAGCAGGTGACACGGAGCCTCCTGAGGGCTTTCCTCGGCCGCCCAGCCCCGTGCCCCCCACGCAACGCCCAGCCCGTCCGCGGGACGCCTTGGGGCGGCCGGCCCACCCTGCCAGCCCTGGGGAACCTGGGCACCGTCCGACATCGCCAACCGGTGCCGCTTCTGCCTCATCGACAGAGAGCCGAGAACCTGGCGGGGGTCGCCGCCGCGGGCACAAGTCCGGGGGGGCGAGCCCCTCGCTTTCCGCCGCTGAAGACGCCGAGCTCTCCGGAGATGTGGTGGAAAGCCCTGGCGCGTCCCCGCTGCCTCCTGCGCCCTCGCAGACGCAGGAGGAGGGAGAGGAGCAGTCGGGAGCAGTGTGGCTCCCCTCGGCCGTGCGCCCGGGGGACGGGAGCACTGTCCCCGCAGTGACACCGTGGCACGCGGAGCTGCCCGGCAGCAGCAGCGCACCGGCCCCGGGAGGAGAGGAGGCAGCGCCGCCACCGCCGGGCTCCGAGGAAGAGGAGGAGGAGGAGGAAGAGCAACCTGCTCCCTCCGTTGCAACCGTGGAGGGTTTCCTTGAGGCCGTTCCTGGAGAAGCAGGTGGGACCCGCAGGGATGGCCTGGCCTCTCCCCGTACTGACACCTCTGGGGTGGTCCTGGCGGGGACCCCATTGGGGGACCCAGCCCCCAGCACGGCCGTGCCCCTGCCCGCCCTGCCCACCGAGCGGGCCAGCGTCGGGGCGGGCTCCTGCTCTGCCAGGGGTCCCTGCCGTGCCACCCTTGCCCTCGGGGCAGCCCTCCTGGCTGCCCTCTGGCACTAGAGATAGCCAACACCTTTCCTTCACGCTGTGCTTCCCTCTGTCTGTCTGTCTGTCCACGTCTCCTCTCTCTCTCTCTCTCCTCCTCAGCTGGGTAAGGGAAGGTTTACAGGTCTGGAGAAGCACATATTTGTCAAACAAATTGGTCTGATCTCTGCATGCACTTAAATCTCTTCTACTTCTGTGAAGTGTTTTAATGACTGTTTCCATGAAAAAGCCCAATAAGCAAAAGGCTGCCCCAGTCCCTGCTCTGACTAACCGTGGTACTAATAAAGGGAATTAAAAGCTTTGTAGAACAAGCATCTCGGCGAGCTCTTCCCTTCGTCCTTGCGCCTGCTGCCCATGCGCCCCTCCCACTGACGAACTAATCCCCTGATCCCGGCCCTGCGAGTCCCTGGGAATGGGCTGGATGGGACACCTGGGAGGTCTGGCAGGGGTATGGCTGCTTTGCACCCTCCGTGTGGCCCCCCTGGGTCCGACCCTGCACTGCCCCGGGGGGAGGGATGAGGGCTGGACGCTGCATGGCATGAGCAGGGGGAGACATGGGGGACACTGATGGGTCATGGGGTGCAGAGCCCCACCAAGACCACGGTGCTTTGTGCAGCTCTCAGTGGCCAAGCAGCCTAAAATTACTGCAGTCCCCTGTGGACCGCATCCCCCACCCCCCTGAGCCCCAGTCCCCCCACATGGGGGCTGGGATGGGTGAGCAGTGGGAACATGACCTGCTGTGGGTGACCAGCCCCACTTTGGCCCCTCCTCCCCGCTCTCCCGGGATGATCCCAGCTCTGATGCCAGTCCTGCAGCCACCGCCTCTGCCCCTTCCCGCTCCCGCAGCAGAGGGACCATGCGGGGTCCCTGCCCCCCTGCTCTGGCAGTGCCCTGCCCAGTCCCATGGCACCAAGGAGGCTCTGTGGAGGGTGGCCAGACCCCGTGGGACGGCTGCCTTTGCCTTGGCAAGGAGAGATGCTCGGGAAGAGCCAGCCATGTGACATTAGGGCCCTCAATTGCTCATCCTGTTCCATGCCTCGCTCTGCTGGGGATGAGCTGTACATCCCGAGCCAGCCGCCGGCACCTCGTGGGGAGGTGACGCTCCCTGGGGGTGGGTGAGGGTGGCAGCATCACCGTTGTCACGTCTCCACCGAGCTGAGGACCATAAAACAGGGCATCATTAGGCTGGAGTGGGTCAAGGACTTTGAGTCTCCACTCGGCTGGCGCTGGCAGCATCCCTTCATCACGCTCTTGAGCTGGGCTGGGAGCACACCATGTGCTCTGGCTGCATTAATGACCGTAACGGGTTCGTGGGGAAGGTGCTGGCTGAGTTATCAGCCTTGGCCAGGCTGGAGGTGACAGCAGAGGGACAGGCGTGCGGTCACCTTGCTGCCAGGCCGAGGACACGCGGCCGAGACGTGCCGAAAGGTTTATCATCTGCATGCTCCTCTCCCAAAACACAATTGCTGCATCACTCCAGGAGCTGGCCCTGGGCAGAGGGAGTGGGCCAGGGGCTGGTGTGGCAATGAGCCCAGTGATGGGGAGAGCAGAGCACCCAGCTCTCATCTCTGTGCTCTGGGGGGAGGCCAAAACACCAGGTCTGGCCAGCTCTGGGCTGGGGCTGCTGAGCTGTTCACACCCAGTGCTGGGAGGGCAGAGCAGGATGGCTTCAGGCACACTGAGGTGCACCCGAGACCTTCACCTGCCCCAGAGCTGGTGGCCTCAGGAGCCAGCTCAGAGACCTGGCTGCTGTGGGACACTGCAGGGTGAGGCTCTGGCACTGCTGGGCACTGAGGAGGTCCCCGAGCTCTGCGTGTGCCTTGCAGGTGGCTGTGTCCCCAACCCCTGCCTGAACGGAGGGACCTGCGTGGAGGACGGCGCCCACCTCACCTGCTTGTGCCTGCCTGGCTACGGAGGCAGCAGCTGTGAAAGACGTGAGTCCCCTGGCTCCCACCATGGCCACGCTGGATCGTCCCCACCCAGCTCCTGCTGCTGTCTCGGCTGCTGAACCAGTGGCCCAGGGGACAGAAATGAGGGGAAATCAGGAGTTTGGGGTGAGTTGGGCTCCACCACCCTGACCCTCTCCTCTCCCCCCTTGCTCCCTGACATGGCTCAGCACTGTGGAGGTGCAGCCCCGGCTGGGACAGCTTCCAGGGCGCCTGCTACAAGCACTTCTCCACTCGGAGGAGCTGGGAGGATGCAGAGACCCAGTGCAGGCACTATGGGGGGCACCTGGCCACCATCCTGACCCCCGAAGAGCAGGACTTCATCAACGGTACGTGACCACGCTGCATCCCTCCACCTCTGCCCAGGAACCCTCAGTGCTGGGCTGCAAATTTTAAACGAGTAGCAAAGAGCCAAGGCAGAGCCCAGCCCTGCAGGGCCGGCGGATGGGGAACAGACACATGGACACGAGGACAGACGTGCGAGAAGATGGATGGGTGCACAGAGAGACACGAGAGCAGACAGGTGCAGTCGTGGGCTGCTCACAACAAGAAAGACATTGAGGGGTTCAAGCGTGTCCAGAGAAGGGAACAGTGCTGGAGAAAGGGGCTGGAGCACCAGGAGCACCTGAGAGAGCTGGGGAGGGGCTCAGCCTGAAGAAAGGGATGCTCATTGGGACCATCTCACTCATGGGGAGGTTTAGGTTGGATATTGGGAAATTCCTTCATGGAGGCAGTGGCCAGGCACTGGCACAGGCTGCCCAGGGGAGTCCCCATTGCTAAAGGGATTTTAGAGACTTGTGGATGTGGCACCTGGGGACAGTGGTGCCCTTGGCTGTGGGGGAATGGTTGGACTTGATGATCTCGCAGGCCTTTTCCAACAAAATTCCCTGATCCAGTGATGGGTGGACAGACCAGCAGAGGGTTGGATGTGTGCAAGTAAATTTGAAGGCAAAGCCACAACCTGCCTGAAATCAGCTTTGGAGGGATGGGGGGAAGACAGAGGGAGGCAGAGCAGCGAACAAGAGCCGTGGGAATGGGACAGAGAGCAAAGAGACCTGAAGGGACATGAGAGTGAAGGAGGAAGGGGCAGGGAGGGACTGCACAGGAAGCTGCAGAGACACAGAGGGACAGGCAGGGCCTGACAGGGACTGGCTGGACCAGAAAAGGGACTGGTAGAGCCGGGTGGGGACTGATGCAGACAGGCAGGGACTTGCAGGGACAGGTGGGGACAGGCGGGGACCAGGTGGGGACAGGTGGGGACCAGGTGGGACAGGTAGGGACAGATGGGGACCAGGTGGGACAGGCGGGGACAGGTGGGGACAGGTGGGGACCAGGTGGGACAGGTAGGGACAGGTGGGGACAGGCGAGAACCTGCAGGGACAGGCGGGG